CCCCAAAACCCCAAAACCCCAAAACCCCAAAACCCCAAAACCCCATTTATTAAAAATAATATTGACTGTTTAAGTTGATTAATGAAGATTTACATATCATCAAATTCCTCAAGCAAAGATTCAACAAGTTCTTGCTCATCTTGAATTTCTTCGTCATCTTCAAGGTTGAAGTCGATCTTCTTTGTCTCCTTTTTAGGGAATTCAAGTGCTTTTACAGAATCATTATAGATTTCCATTCAGAATCTAATTCTCTTGTCTAACTGAGTTGTGGGGAGATTGCTAGTATACACATCAGCTACTTCATTAGTCTTGAGCTCTCTATCTTCTCTATTAATGACTGCGTTAATGACCTTATCTCTAATAGCTTTAGTGACAATACTTTCAGTTTCTTTCACAGATTCAAGGCCAAGCTTAGTTGTGATATCAGCAAGGGAGATTCTTGAATAACTTGCATTGATTTTTCTCAGTCCAAATTTGATGACATTATGTCTAAGCCTAATCAAGAGGTTATAATTATCATTCTTCTTGAAGGTATCTTCATGCTCATTGATTACTTTCATGAATTCTTCAATATTTCCTTCCCTAACCTTTTGGACTATGATGAAGTAGGCATAGAGATCACTCTTCATTTCCTGGTCTGAGAATAAGGATCTATCTGGAATCTCTCCCATGAGGAGTGTTACAATGATACGGAGTTTCATTGCTTGGACTCTGAATGCCTTTCCAGTATACTCAGAAGCTTTTCTAATTGCTTGGATTACATGAGCCTGTGCTTCTGGGTATTTCATCTGGACAGCTTGGATCTTTGCTTCATAGTATAAGTTCCTTGCTTGTTGGTTTGGAGACACATTTTCTGGAAGTGAGCAAATTTCAATAAAGTTAGCAGCTTGGATATACAATTGATCATTAATGTATGATCTTAGAATGTAGTTGATCAATGTTGCTTGCGTCTGTTCGTCATTTCTATGACAAGCAGCTCTGTAAGCATCCAAGAACTGTGGCACAAAATTATTCAACTCTCCCAATTTCTCATAAATAAATCCTGAGTAATAGTAAATTTTTGAGAAGAAGTGATCGAGGGTTCTTGAATTTTCAAGGTCAATTTGTGCTCTTGCATAATCTACGAATTCCTTAGCCATTTTGATTTTTCTTTCATCAATGAGTTTCATTATAAGAAGGATGTGCAGGAATCATTTGGCTTCGAAGTTCTTTGTAAGAACACCTGCACGCTCTTTATTCAAATGCAATTTGTCTTCAACGTCAAATTTAACAATATCCGGATCATACTTTGGCAAATTTATCTTCGCCGAGAGATCTGGTAAGTAATGATCATAAACCAATCCAACATCTTTGAGAGAAAATTCCGCTCTAATCCTTTTGAAATTCCTCGCTACTACTCCACACGTCTTTGTATCCTTCATCTCCACCGCTTTCTCAAGTAAAATAAGCTGCTTCCTAATCTCTATACAACAAACATACTCCCTATTTCTCTCCAAAATGCCAAAAATTTCCCCTCTAAACCCACTCTTTTCCCAAAATCTTTGCCTAAACTTACCCAAATATGGATCAAATTTTTCTTGTTTAACTTCTTCTTCCTTCTTTTGTTCCATTTCAACATCCTTGGGTTCTTTTGAGTCCTTCTTTTTGTCCATTTTTCAAAAAATAATTATAATAAATTCAACCATATTCTTTAAAAAGGGGTTTTGGGGTTTTGGGGTTTTGGGGTTTTGGGG